GGCTTATAGAGTAAATGAGAGGGAAATACATAAATGTATCTATCTGTCTGCCTCTATCTATCTGTCTGTCTGTCATTAGCCCTGTAGTCAGTGTGTCAGCTTATGAAATGTCTTGGCAACGCTTTGCGGTGTCATAGATATGTAGGAGGTGACGTGGAGCAAGGTAGGTGATGGCCTGGGGTCTGGAGCCCTCCTGTTTCTGGCTCTGGGGCCAGGCCATGGTGACCTCTCAGAGGCACTGATGACTTCTCTTCCAAAAGGGAGTGCTGCCAAATTCAATTCTAGCAGTAACATTCTGTGTTCAAGGAAATGCTTCCAGAGACTGCCATGTGGTTTGGCACCTGACCCCTTCCCTGTTAAAAACTAGCAGTGGGGGAAATGCTAAAAGAATAAGAATCATTTTAATAATCCACATTAAAACAGTTACACATTAATAAAGTAGACCTTGACTCACAGCTCAGGTTGCCCTCATTTCAGTGCTCAGCCCCCTCCTGCCTACCCATATTTGCACTCCATGACCCAAGAAAAATGAAAAGTTCTGTATTATAAGCCCTATATTCCCCTATGCTTTGTTTGAAATCATTGAATGTTCTGTTCAAATTGAAAATAGTGAACTAAGCCCCAATATCTACGGCCCTCTACCCGCCCAGCTTTCATCATTATGACAAGAGGAATACACAGACTTAGGCAGGGGCGGGGTCTGTCATGGCAGGAGCCGTCCAGAGGCCAGAAACATTGCATAGATCATAGAGGTTATACTGCAGATGGGTCCAGAGTTTCAAAGTCACCACCGGGGACAGGAGCTGACGCCCTAAAGAGGCAGAAGAGCTCCCCTGCTATTACCCGCTTTCCTTTCCCCACCAGCTGAGTCTCTTTAACCTTAATACTTCCTTGAGGGGAAGGGAGGGGAGGGCCATTTCTCTGGTGGTTCTCAACCTCAACAGGACATTGGAAGGACCTGAGAAACAAAAAGTATTGATGCCAGAGCTTCTGATTTCATTGGTTTGGGGTTCAACCTGGACAATGGGCTGTTTACTGTGCCACCAAGTTGAGATCCTCTCACTGCCATAGGAAGGCAACAGGAAGCCACCTTGGTACAACCCAAGGAACTTCGCTGCTAAAGGCTCCTTAGAGTGCCCTGTTCCTCAGAGAAACAGGCGCTACTCCATGAATTTCAAGCTGTCTAAACAAACATAATAAAATCCTTCTCACAGCAGGAAACTCCGCTGCCCCAACACTTCCCTTCCTCCTCCCACAATGCTGTCACCTCTCTACCCCTCCCAACGACAAAGGGGCATCTCAGTGGGTCAGCCACAGAAATACTCGACTTTACCTTCTCTCTTTACTTGAACCCAAAAGACTTGGTGGGGAAAGAACATAATCTCTAGCAGAACTTGTTTCAATTCTCACTTAAAGTCTAGAGGAAGGAAAATGTCTTATAATAGAAAAAATGGAAAGCATTAAATAGGATGCCAGAAGTCACTTATTTAAAAAAAAAAAAAAAACTCCTAAAATTATTCTTATTAATACTCGAAAAAAGTATGAACCAGTCAAAATTGAAGTGAGATTTTTGTGAGTTAAACATGTCACATTAATACTGAAATATATCTAGTTTAAATGACTTCAAGAGAATAGCTAGGAAATTTTGAAATAGAAGAGTAGTGACTGTGAACTAGTTTTACTAGTTATTAACGTTTATTTTATTTATTGTTGAGACGGAGTCTCACTCTGTCACCCAGGCTGGAGTGTAGTGGCGTGATCTTGGCTCACTGAAATTTCTGCCTCCCAGGTTCAAGTGATCCTCCCTCCTCAGCCTCTTGAGTAGCTGGAATTACAGACATATGCTACCATGCTCGGCTAATTTTTGTATTTTTGGAAACAGAGTTTCACCATGATGGCCAGGCTGATCTCAAACTCATGGCCTCAAGTGAACTGCCCAACTTGGCCTCCCAAAGTGCTAGGATTAAAGGTGTGAGCCACCACACCCAGCCTATTAACATTTATTATAAAGTTAAAATATTTAAAACTATGTGATACTGTTATCAAAATGAGTCAGTGGGACAAAATAGAAAATTGAAAAATAGATCTAAGTTCCATGATAATTAAATATATGATAAAGATAAAGCAATAGTTGAAATTACTGGAGAAAACATTGATTATTTAATTATGTTGGTATAACTGCATAAGCATTATTCAGTATAATAGATCTTTATCTCTTTTTGCCAAAATCCAAATGTATCATAAAAGTAAAAGTTGTAACATGAAAAAAATCAAAAATACTGCAATAAAATGTAGTTGAGTATATATGGCTGTGGAGAATAACCATGAATGGAAAGTCTGATTAGTTTGACTGCTTATACCCTTTTAAATTTGTGCATTCATGCCAAAACAAAACAGAAACCCCATTCCCTGCCCCACCACCAGCACAAACTTCAAAAACAAAACAAAAAAAGAACACATGAGAAGTTGGGAATAATATTGGTACCAGAAATGGCAGATAAAGGGTAAATATGTGTAGTATAAAGGGACCTCTAAAAGTTTTAAGAAAAATGGCATTAGGTTGGTGCAAAAGTAATTGCGAGTTTTGCCATTGAAAATAATGGCAAAAATGGCGATTGTTTTTGCACCAACCTAATAGAAAAATAAATTTACACTAAATATCAGATGTCTTAGAAAAAATTCGTGTTCTATAACCATGAAATCCTTTTCTTGGAATTTATCCTCAGGAATTAATTGGGCACATTTGTAGATATTTATGTATAAGCTATTTTTCAAAGAATTGTCTATAAAAGCCAAGAGGGAATAAAATAGACAACAGAAAGAAATTAAGAAAAAGAGAAATAGAGAAAAGGAGGGAGGAAGGAAGGAAAGAAGGAAGGAAGGAAGGAAAAGAAGAGATGGAAAGAAGGAAGGAAGGAAGGAAAAGAGATGAAAAGAAGGAAGGAAGAACCTTAAATGTCCAACAAAAGGAGATTAGTTGATGAAGTCGTGTTACCTTGTGAGAGTTGACAGCTAGTCAGTAACTAAAAGTAAAATTGGAAGAAGTTTTGTGCACAAGAAGAATTTTTTTTTTCAAATTTAAGCCACATTTATTTGCATTTTTAAGACTACAGAGATACACTTTAAAACGAATACATTGTTAGTGCTGGTAGCAGGTTTGTTTTATACCAAAGATTGAAAAGGTATTTTAAGCAACTGGGTTCATATAAAATCTGTTATTTACCTTTGATGTCTAAGACAGAAATAATTTATATCGCAATTTTCAAAGACAGATGCCACCTAACCAAACATTAATTTATATATGGCCGAGAACAGATATTTGACTTTTAACGGAAAAAGATATTGAGTAATTTTATAAATTACTGAAAGGATACTGAATAATTTCATAAAAACATAAAGCATTTTAAACTCTAGCTAAAAATCTAAAGTTTTGGGAGCAACACAATGAAGAAATAAAGATACCCATTTTCACCTAGTTTCCTAAAACTGCGCAATCTTCAACCCTGTGGTAAGTCTTTCCTTTGGTGTAGTTTTCCCCTTCTTTTCAGTTTTCATTTTTTAATTCTTTCCTTAAATAGGGAACAAATGACGTTAGTGAAGGGGGCGTTGCAATAAATACGTTTTAGTTATCTTTAGTATTTGTTTGGGAATTCCCCCTGCCCACCAGTTTCCCTTCATAGAGATTGGGTAACTTTCCTTCAAAACAAAGTAAAAAAAATAAAAGTCCAATTCATACGAAAAACAACAATTAAGACAACATTAAACTCTACATAATATACTACTAATAAAAAAAAAAAAAAAAAAAAAAAAAAAAGTCCATTCCTATGAAAAACAACAATTAAGACAACATTAAACTCTACATAATATACTACTACTAATAAAACTACACATGATAATCATTTATCTCCTGGCTATACTAGTGGTACCTAGTCTTCTTATTAGGGAAAAGAAAAACTACTTCAGAAAAAACTATCAAAAGTGAAGAATCTTTTATGAAAACAACTATATGTAAATATATGCACAAATATATTCATGAAAATGTCTGGAATCTGAAAGCTAGCCCAGTTATCTCTGGGGTAATGGGTTATAGCTCAGACTTTTCTTTCTCCATTTTGCATACATGTATTTTTTGTTTACAATTAGCATGATTTGGTTTTGAAAAAATTTGTTTTTGATGTTATTCTGGGAACAGACGTCAGACTGGTCTGTAAATATTCTTGTCTTTGTTGTCCTGGTTTCTCTCCTCCCGGCCCTCGTCCTGCCTATACTCTATACTCTTGCTGACCACCAAGATCTTCCCTGTCCCCCTCTCCCCAGAGCTCCTGAACCATGAGTGATACACACCTCTTATTTGTTCTTTAAACGTTTCTCAGCCAGGCATTGTGGATCACGCTTGTAATCCCAGCACTTTGGGAGGTCGAGGTGGGCAGATCACTTAAGACCAGGAATTTGAGACCAGCCTGGCTAACGGTTATGGCGAAACCCCGCCTCTACTAAAAATACAAAAATTAGCAGGTGTGGTGGCACACAACTGTAGTCCCAGCTGCTTGGGAGGCTGAGGCACGAGAATTGCTTTAACCTGGGAGGCAGAGGTTGCTGTGAGCCGGGATCGCACCACTGTACTCCAGCCTGGGCAACAGAGCAAGACTCTGTCTCAAAAAATAAATAAATAATAAAAGTTTCTTGTGTCTTTTCCAGTCTCCACATAGAAACTAAGCTCCCAGAAAGAAGGAGTTGGGAGATGGGCTGGGCATGGCTTCTCCGCCTGGGATTACTGAAAAGATAGACACTGGGCTCATGGGGTCAGCGCAGGCAGCTGGGAGAGCTGAGGCGGCCAGAGACCACAAAAAGTACCCATGAGCTGGGTGGAGCTGGCCTTGTCGTGGGAAAAAAGCAGGGCGTGCTGTTACGGGTCTCTCCAAGCTTTTCCACATTTCCAGTTTCCCATGGATAATTGGTCATGTTAACCTCTACTTTTTGTCTCCATGTCACGTGGACAGGTTCTAACGTTCCCATGGACCAGCCTTGCTGTCGTGGTCTCTATGACTTTGAGCCAGAAAACCAAGGAGAATTAGGATTTAAAGAAGGGGACATCATTACGTTAACCAATCAAATAGATGAAAACTGGTATGAAGGAATGATACACGGGGAATCCGGATTCTTCCCCATTAATTATGTTGAAGTGATCGTGCCTTTACCTCAGTAATTGTGTAACACAAACTGGACATAACTTTTGTAACTGAAATGAATTCACACCAATGTGCTCTCAGTGTGGTGTTCTGTGACATCCTTTGCTCGCTGACCAACTTAATGACCTTTTTACTTGTGTTCTCTTTATAATGTATTTTGTATCAATTTAATTTGTATAAATGATTTTCTTGTCCTTGCTACATGAAAATATTTTCTTTTTTGCTTCTTGTCCTAAAAGTCATTGGTTAAATGTATGTGCTTCCTGTTGCTAAAAATAAGTCTCACCCATTGCAGTTGTGTCAGAAAATGGCCTATATTTCTCAACTGCAATGAAATGAACATTTGAAACTAAGAAATGCTAAATATTTTGTTTCTTGACATTCCTGATGATGTCTGGTCTTTTCTCTTCTTTGTATTTTCAGCTTACCTGTGAATAGCCCAATAAACATGACACACTGTGTTGGCAGAAGGCCTTGGTTATTTTTAACGCTGAAGCGTTGAATTTTAAGCACAGTGTTTCAGCTGCAAACTCATGCCCCATGGCTGACCAAAGTGTCACAGCGCGGATGCTTAGATAACGGCTCCTAATTCAAACATGACACTCATCCTCCTTCTAGTTGGGGGATGGAAAGCCCCTCTATCTACTTTCAAGTTTATTTATAAAAGACCCCAACTCAAGCTTCTGCTGCTGCCACATTTTGGATAGGTTTTTCGAGCAAGTTGTGTTATGGATGCTTAGGAAGTAGCATGGTCAAGAGTTGGTTGAGTCCCCAATAACGTGATCACCCTGACCTTGCCTATGGTATGTACATGTCACATGCTTTGGCCCACTGGAAGCCACAACAATCCTATTATGGGGAGGGCCAGCTATTATTTCTCATTTAAAAAGGAGGCTCATTGACTGGCTTACCTAGAATCAAACAACAACATACAAGCACACCTCAGAGATATTGCAGATTCTGTCCTGGCTACTTACTGCAATAAAACGAATATTGCAATAAAACAAGTCACACAAATGTTGAGGTTTTCCCAGTGTATAGAAAAGTTGTGTTTACACATAGACACCGGGAGGGGAACAACACACACTGGGGCCTGTTGTGGGGAGAGGGGAGGAGGGAAAAATAGCTAACATATACCAGGCTTAATACCTAGGTGATGGGTTGATAAGTGCAGCAAATCACAGTGGCACATGTTTACCTATGTAACAAACCTGCACATCCTGCATGTGTACCCTGGAACTTTAAAAAAAATTGTGTTTACACTGTGCTGTAGTCTATTAAATGTGTAGGAGCATATGTCTTAAAAAACCAGAGTACACACCACTACTGAAAAATGCTAATGACTGTCTGAGCCTTCAGCAAGTGGTAATCTTCTTGCTGCTGGAAGGTCTTGATTTTGATGGCCACTGACTGATCAGGGTGGTGTTGCTAAAGGTTAGGGTGGCTGTGGCAATTTCTTAAAATAAGACAATGCTGAAGTTTGCTGCATGGGTTGACTCTTCCTTTCAAGAAAGATTTCTCTGTTGCATGCAATGTTGCTTGATAGCATTTTACACACAGAACTTTCAAAATTTGAGTCATTTCCCTCATTTAAGTTTATGTAATAATGTAAATCCTTTGTTGCCATTATAATAATGTTCACAGCATCTTCACCAAAAGTAGATTCCATCTCAAGAAATCACTTTCTTTGCTTATCTGTAAGAAGCAATTCCTCATCTATTTAAGCTTTTTTATGAGATTGCAGGAATTTAGTCACATCTTCAGACTCCACTTCTAATTCCAGTCCTCCCGTTATTTCCACCACATCTGCAATTACTTCCTCCGCTGAAGTCTTAAACCCCCTCAAAGTCATCCCAACAGGGTGGAAATCAACTTCTTCTAAACTCCGGTTAATGTTGATAATTTTGACCTCCTCACATGAATCACAAATGTTCTTAAAGGCATCAAGAATAGTGAGTCCTTTCCAGAAGATTTTCACTTTACTTTGCCCAGATCCATCAACAAAATCACCCGCCTTGGCCTCCCAAAGTTCAGGGATTACAGGCATGAGCCACTGCATCAAAATATATCCCTGACTTTTTAGATGTCAAAACAATTTCTAAAATTAAAATAGCTGTATTTTTCTAATTGTAAAAGTAATACAGGCATATTGTAGAAAAAAATTCAGAATACATGTAAAATCATAAGAAGAAAATCACCTTTAACCCCACAACCTCAAAATAATTACCATTATCAACATTTTCATTATATTCTTCCAGTTTTGTTCTTGTATAATTTTATCCATTTTATATATTTATATATATATATTCATCCACACAAATGAGAGTTCCATATTATGATTTTATCTTTCTACGTTAATAACTGTAGACCTAAGTCTTACAGTTTATTGGCTACATGGTATTTTATTATATGTCTATGTCATAACTTAGCTGACTAACCTCCTATTGTTATACATTTCCAGTTTTCTTCTATTACAGACAAACAGGTAACAGTCATCTCTATATATAACTTCAATTATTTCCTTATGATACATTTCTAGAAATAGAAAAAATGGGTCAAAATGACAAACATATTGAACTTAGATATATTTAAATGTGTATATTAATTAGCTTCCTTCATATTATACTTGAACTTCCTGATGGTTACATTGGTTTATATTTCTTATATCAGTGTGTGGATATTCATTTGCTTCTATTCTTATTAATTCTGGGTAAAAATAATTATTGACATTTGTCCATCTGACAGGTAAAAACATATACCCCTATTGCTTAATTTGCATTTCTTGGCTTACTAGTGGTGTTGATCTTTTCACATAGTTACTGGCTATTTTTAGTTCTTACTATATTCATTGCCTAATTTTCTATTAGCATTTCCCTCTGATTAATGAGTTTATTGCTTTGATCCCTTATCTATTATGTGAGTTTAAAATATATTCTCCAGTTTGCCAATTCCCTTTGTGTGTGTGTGTGCACACGTGTGTGTTGTCTGCCTGTTACACCAATATTTTTAAAATGCATGTAATCAAATCGATCATTCTTTTCCTTCCTATTTTCTGGTATTATTCTCAACTTTCTCAACTCTAATATTATAAAATCACTGAATTTTCTACTTTTTTTCTTATTGCACATTAATCTTTAACTCATCTGGAATTTATTTCATAGAAATGAAGGAAGTTGATATGTAACATTTCCCGCTAAATATCTAGCCAATAATTTACACTTTTTTCATTGAATTAAAATGTCACCTTTAATACATACTGATATTTCAAATATATTTAGATATAATTCCTTACTCTTTCTGTTTCACTATGTATTTTTTCCTCCCATTCCCTGATTATTAGTAGCATTGTTGCTTTGGTAAGAACACAGTATAAGATCTACTCTTTTAGCAATTTTAAGTGTTCAATACAGTATTGTTAACTATGGGTACTACACTACAGAGTAGATCTCCAGAACTTACTCTTGCATAACTAAAAGTTCACACCCTTTAGCCATCACCTTTCTAGTTCTGCCTTCCACAAGCCCCTGCCAATGACCATTCTACTCTCTGCTTTTATGAATTTGATTATTTTAGATTATAAATGAGATCATACAGTATTTGTCTTTTTGTGTCTGATTTATTTCACTTAATATAATGTTGGCCGGGCGCGGTGGCTCACGCCTGTAATCTCAGCACTTTGGGAGGCCGTGGCGGGTGGATCACGAGGTCAAGAGATCGAGACCATCCTGGTCAACATGGTGAAACCCCGTCTCTACTAAAAATACAAAAAATTAGCTGGGCATGGTGGTGTGTGCCTGTAATCCCAGCTGCTCAGGAGGCTGAGGCAGGAGAATTGCCTGAACCCAGGAGGCGGAGGTTGCGGTGAGCCGAGATCGGGCCATTGCACTCCAGCCTGGGTAATGTGAGTGAAACTCCGTCTCAAAAAAAAAAAAAAAAAAAATTATATATATATATATATAATGTTAAGTGAACATTAAGTTAACATAATCTATTAATGGATTTCCTTCTTTTTATAGCTGAATACTTTTCCAGTATATGCCATATACCATAATGTCCTTATCCATTCATCTGTTGATGGACAATTAGGTTGTTTCTATACCTTGGATATTGTGAATAATGTTGTGATGAACCTGCGAGTGCAGGTATCCCTTTGACATACAGATTTCATATCAAATGGAATTGCTGAATCATATGAGTTCTACTTTTAATTTTGGAGAGAACTTCCATACTGCTTTCCATAGTGACTGTACTAATTTACATTCCCAATAGCAGTGTAAAAGAGTTCCTTTTCTCCACATCCTTGTCAACTTTTGTTATCTTATATCTTTTTTTTTTTTTTTTGGGAGCTGTGGCATGGTCACTTTTTAATTGCACTGTCACTGCATAGCCATCCTAACAGGTTTGAGGTGGTACCACATTGAGGTTTTGATTTACATTCCTGATGATTAGTGTTGTTGAGCACCTTTTCTTGTACCTTTTGGCATTTGCATATCTTCTTTGGAAAAATGTCTATTCATATCCTTTGCCCATTTAAAAATCAGATTTTGTTTTTTTGCTTTTAAGTTGTATGAGTTCCTTACATATTTTAGATGTTAACCCCTTATCCAGTATATGGTTTGCAAGTATTTTCTCTCAATCTATGTTTTTTATTTGGTTATTTTTTTCCTCTGCAAATGCTTTTTAGTTTGATGTAATATCACTTGTTTATTTTTGCTTTCGTTACCTGTACTTTTGGTATCATACCCCAAAAATTATTGCCAAGACCAATGTCAAGGAACTTTTTCTTATGTTTTCTTTCATGGTTTTAGATCTTACATTTAGTTCTTTAATCTATTTTGAGTTGATTTTTCTCTACGGTGTGAGGTTAGGGTCCAGTTTCATTCTGTTGCTTGTAGATGTACAGTTTTCTCAGCATCATTTGTTAAAGAGACTGTCCTTTTGTTAAAGAGACTGTGTATTCTTGGTACCCTTGTCAAAAATTAGTTGGCCATATATGTATGGGTTTAATTCTGAATTATCTATTTTGTTTCAGCTCTGTTCTTCTTACTCAAGATTGTTTGGCTATTTGGGATATTTTGTGGTTCCATATGAATTTTAGGATTCATTTTATATTTCTATGAAAAATTCTATTGGAATTTTGATAGAGATTGCATTGAATTTGTAGCTAACTTTGGATAATATAGACATTTTAACAATATGGATTTTCTAATTCATGAATATTTGTTATCTTTCCATTTATTTGTGTCAAATTTAATTTCTTTCATCAATGTTTTATAGTTTTCAGTGTAGAGATATTTCAGCTCCTTAGTTAAATCTATGCCTAAGTATTTTATTCATTTTGATAGTATTGCAAATGAAATTGTTTTGTTCATTTTTTTTTTTTTTGGATAGCTCATTGGTAATGTATATTATGCAACTGATTTTTGTATGTTGATTTTATATTCCTCAACTTTACTGAATTCATTTTATTAGTTCCAACAGTATGTGT